CCAGAGCCCTGACTGCCAGATCAAAAGTTTAAACTTTAGCTGGGAGTGGTGATGTATACCTTCAAGTGCTCAGAAAGCTCAAGCAGGAGAATTTTTACTAAGTTCAAGATTAGCTTATGTATGTTGTGAGTTCCAGGTCAGCCAGGTCTCCATAGTAAGAGTCTGTCTCAAGAAAAGTAAGCCAACATAGTGGTGTACACCTTCAATCCTAGTACTTGGGAGGCAGAGGCAGACAGACCTCTGTGAGTTTGAGTCTATGTATTAAGTTTCAGGGTTGCTTAGTGACAAACTACAACAATAATCAAAATAGGTAAGGTTGACGTTTGAGCTGAGAAGGTGGCTCTGGGAATGAAGCTGCTTAGTTCCCAGGTAGACAACCTGAGTTTATCCTGGGACCCACATGGTGGAAGGAGAGAACTGATACCAACTATTGTCTTCTGACCTTCACAGGTACATGCACACAAAATAAGTAAAATGTAAAAACTGAGCCCAAAGTCTTCTAACAGAGCAGAGTATTCTTAGAGTCCCTCTGTGACTGCAGGGTGGGAGGCAGATTAGAGGTAAGGGGTACATGCAAACATACATGCACATGCATACAAAATCTTATAGTGTCCCACCCACTCACCTGACTCATTGACAAATTCCCTGCCCTAGACAGGATGAGGGGTGTGACCATCCCCCCAGCCTTACTCACACCCTCTCTGGGCTTGGCTGGTTTTAGCTGGAGTCATTGGCAAGGATTTCCCAGGAACCAGCTCATAAACACCAACCCAACACTATAGACCCCATGCCAGGACTCCTGCCTGTCAGGCAATAAATGTTCCAGCCCAGTGTCCCCAGATGGGAGATTAGATGGACCATCCGTCAGCTATCTGGCAGGTAAACTAGGCAGCTGATGCAGAACCAAGGGCTGACAGACTCCAGGGTACAGGGTGGGATTGGAGAGGTGACCTTGGTACCTGGATCTTGCCAGTTTCTTTGCTGCTGTAGGCTCTGGAGCAAAGTATAGATCTTAATCCTAGGGTCAACTTCTCTGGGGATCAGTACAGCTAGGCTAAGCAAACAGGTTAGGTAACAGGGCATGGAACCTAAAATCTGGCTAGTGGTTTCCCCTACAGATAGGAACTGAAGGCTCCACTTGGGTAGGTCCTAAGATTCTAGCATAACCAGCTTGGCTGCCCATAAGAAAGGCTACACAGGACTGACTCCTGGAGGGACTGGGAAGTACCACAAAGCCCTGGTGGGAGCAGGCTTTTGTTTCTCTGTATCTTCTGTGTTCTGCTTTGTTATCCTCCTGCCTGCCTTCCTTCCTTCCTTCCTTCCTTCCTTCCTTCCTTCCTTCCTTCCTTCCTTCCTTCCTTCCTGCCTTCCTGCCTTCCTTCCTTCCTTCCTTCCTTCCTTCCCTCTTTGTGTGTGTGTGTGTGTGTGTGTGTGTGTGTGTGTGTGTGTGTGTGTGTGTGTGTGTGTGTGTGTGTGGTTTTTCAAGACAGAGCTTCTCAGGGTAACAGCCCTGGCTGTCCTGGCATCTGCTTTGTAAACCAGGCTGGTCTTGAACTCAGAGATCTGCCTGCCTCTGCCTCCAGAGTGCTGGTATTAAAAGTGTGTGCCACCACTGCCTGGCCTCTAGGATTTTTCTTATTGACTTATACTGGGTTTTTGTTTCCTGTGATTTCAGTGGCCCGCTTCAGGTTCTCCACTTAAGCTCATCTTGCATAGTGTCACTGTGCTTATGGGGCTCTGGGTCTCATCTCATCTCTCTTGGAATGGCAGGTCCTGTGTGTCCAAGCCAGCTCAGAAAAACCTGAATGTGAAGTTTTTCATACCTTGCAAGCCCCCCAACCCCAACTCAGAATAGTCCTTAGTATATGGATCCAGCATCTCTGTGACCATGCTACATAGGGGACCTTAGGTGGTGTTTGAGTGAAGTTTCATGCAAGATTGTTACCCATGGGCCGGGCGTTGGTGGCACACCCCTTTAATCCCAGCACTTGGGAGGCAGAGGCAGGCGGATCTCTGTGAGTTTGAGGCCAGCCTGGTCTACAAGAGCTAGTTCCAGGACAGCCTCCAAAGCCACAGAGAAACCCTGTCTCGAAAAACCAAAAAACAAAAAAACAAACAAACAAACAAAAAAAAAAAAAACAAGAAACCTGTGTGTCTTTATGAATGAGAATCAGGAAAGGTCTTGTATTTGGGGCTGACCTGTCCTTTCCGCATGCTCAGAAGATCTAATTTGCTTGGACAAAAAGTACTTATTTCCGCCAGTAGCCCATGTACCTAGTTATTGACTGAGGCCTGCTTTCACATAGGCAATAGCCATCATTCAGCAGGAACTGACCTGATAATTTGGTTCCTACTGTTGATGCCAAGGGACTGCCTGGGGATGGGAGGAGTTAACGTTCTGCAAGGTGGGTTGTTGTAAGGGAAGGCTTATGATTCAGTCCAGACCATTTGTGAATTCTGTGGATAACTTCCCCTCACTAGCTCTTGGATACCTGGTTTTTGGAGACAAGGAGAAAAGGCAGACCACCAGGAAGAAGACAGAACCCCCTCTAAGCTTGGCTGTCCAAGAGAAAGGGGTGGGAATATGTTCCCTGAAGCAGACAGTAGGCCAGAAACTGTTTTGCCACCCCTAGATAGAAAGCAGCAAGCTACTGCTAGCTTGGGTGATTAACTGTTGAAATTGGTAGATATTTTGGTACAGGGAAATTGTCATAGAATCAGCTGGCCCATCCCAACCATAAAAGGCTTAGAGGGAGGAGAAGTAAACTGACTAGGTGTCTTTTTGTTTTCTCTTTTTCTTTAATATTGTGGGGTTTTGTTAGTGGTTTTTGTTTGTTTGTTTGGTTGGTTGGTTGTTTTTTGTTTTGTTTTGTTTTTGTTTTTTTAAGATTTATTTATTGTGAATACAGTGTTCTGCCTGCATGTATCCCTGCAGGCAGGAAGAGGGCACCAGATCTCATTACAGATGGTGTGAGCCATTGTGTGGTTGCTGGGAATTGAACTCAGGACCTCTGGAAGAGCAGGCAGTACTCTTAACCCTTGAGCCATCTCTCTAGCTCCAGTTTTTTGTGTTTTAATGTGTTAATGTGCATTGGTGTTTTGCCTCTGTGTATGCTTATGTAAGGATGTCAGGTCACCTGGAAATGTAGTTACAGACAGTTGTAAGCCACTATGTGGGTTCTGAGAATTGAACCCAGGTCCTCTAGAAGAGCATAACCACTGAGCCACCTCTCCAACCCCTGACTAGGTCTCCCAGCATTGCTCTCCTTGCTCTAAGCAAACACTACTCTCTCTGCAGGCCTATCTGGAGTCCTTCTACAAGTTCTGCACTCTATTGGGTGGGACCACAGCTGATGCCATGTGTCCTATCCTAGAGGTGAGTGCCTGCCTTACCTCTCTGTCTTTTGTTCCCACTGATCCTTGCCAACTGACTGGCTATGTCTCCCTCGTCTTCTTTCTCTCCTCACCTATGCACTGGCCCTGCAGTTTGAAGCAGACCGCCGCGCCTTCATCATCACCATCAACTCTTTCGGCACAGAGCTGTCCAAGGAGGACCGTGCCAAGCTCTTTCCACACTGTGGCCGACTCTACCCTGAGGGCTTGGCTCAGCTGGCTCGGGCTGATGACTATGAACAGGTCAAGAATGTAGCTGATTACTACCCGGTGAGTGCCCTGGCTGACAAGGTTTAGGTAGCCATGTTGGCACACCCAGCAGCACTCATAGCTGTGCTTCTCTCCATTTCCTGGCCAGGAATACAAACTGCTTTTTGAGGGTGCAGGTAGCAATCCTGGAGACAAAACCCTGGAGGACCGATTCTTTGAGCATGAGGTGAGCACAGGGCTCTGTAGAACCCGCACAGTCCAGGGAGGGTTGTGACTTAGGACTCACATTGCTGGCCACAGCCCCTGTGAGTCACACCCGTGTCTGTCCACAGGTGAAGCTCAACAAGCTGGCCTTCCTGAACCAGTTCCACTTTGGTGTCTTTTATGCCTTTGTGAAGCTTAAGGAACAGGAATGTCGCAACATCGTGTGGATTGCTGAGTGCATCGCCCAGCGCCATCGCGCCAAGATCGACAACTATATTCCCATCTTCTAGAGTTCTAACTTAAGGTTCCCAAATGCACTGTGTGTGTCTTTGTGTGCTGTGGAGAAGCTCATGGCTCACTTGTCTCACCTGGTAAGGTGTAGCACATTGTCCTGGGGTTGACCACCTTCCATGGCTCCCTCTGGGACTGCTCTTAGACCTAAAAAGGGATTAGGTACCTTTCCCCTGATGAAGAATGGACCAGTATCTCCTCCAGAGCAAAGAGCCCCCAGCCCTATGTTTACAGCCTTTGACGTGTCTAAGAAACTTGTGTCATTTTCGTGTCCCTCCCTAACCTGAGAACCTCTGGGACAGTGTGATGCTTTCTTCTCTGTGGGTCATCCCCAGAGCCATGGCCCATGGGAAGATTAGAGAGTGTGTGTTTTGGGGGTATGGGGGGAGTAGCTTTGCAGCCCTGTCCGTCAGCTCTTGACCCTCTGAGATAATAAAGTTCCCCTCTTTAAAAAGCCTGCTGAGTGCTATCTCCTTTGAGTCCTAGTATCTCTCCTTGACTCCCAGCTTTCTTTGTCACTGTACCCTTGGGCCCCTCCTGCAGTTGGCAGTCACAGGGTTAGGGGAGTCCCTGGAGGAGGCTCCTTCTTCTAGGAGCTCAGGCCCAAAGATAGGCTGAGGTAGGGCTTGTTAGAGAGGAGTTGAATCTTGGCTCTGGGAACCCCAGAGCTCCCTAACTGCTTCACCAAGTCCTGTAAATTGGCCATTACCTTCATCTCTCTATGCAGAAACCCAGATCTAGGGATAAGAGATTTATCTGCCTGAGGTCAGTAGAAGAGGGATATGAACCACAGAGTGCCTGGGAAGGCCAGTTAGCTTCCCTGCTGGTTCCAATCTCTGTCACATAATCACACCAAAGGCAACCAGGCAGTCACCGCCTTCAAACACTGACCTCCCCCATTCTAGGAGACATAAAAACGTGTCTTTATTTTAAAATGCCAACAACCAGGCAAATACAATATGCAGCTTCCCTGTGGTTTGGGAGCAGGTAGTTGAGGACCTGACTCTTGAGTCAGGCAATAGGCAATTGGGATTTACTCTGGACTTTCAGAGCCAAAGCATTGGTGCCAAGACAATCCTGAGAAGGTACCCACCTGCCTAATCACTATTGAGTCTGATCAAAGGCTACAGATAATCTTGCATAAAACTCTCCACTGAGCTGGGTTCTCCAAGTTTCGGTGTGGAGCATTATGCCCGGTAGGGTTTGTGTGAATTCATGGAAGAGCAGAGAGGTTCAAAGACTCCCTAGCAAACTTCAGCCTCCACGGCCTGGACTAAGCATCAACAGTAGAGTCTGGGCTTTTCTTAACACAAACTCTAGGGCAGCGGATCTCAACCTAGCTAATGCTGTGCCCTCTTCAATACAGTTGCCCATGATATGGTGACCTCTAGTCATAAAATTATTTTTGTTACTACTTCATAACTGTAATTTTGCTACTGTTATGAATTATAATGTAAATATTTTTGGAGATAGAAATTTGCCAAAGGTGTCACGACTCACAGGTTAAAAACTGCTGTTCTAGGGCGAGCTTGAGAGGTTTATAATGGCTAGGAAAGAGAGCCAAGGGCTCATGGAGCCTCTCTGCTGGAGCTCTTAGTCAGACCATCTGTGGCTCACCTAGCCGCCACTAGGGAAGGGTTTGGGTCCTGGGGTGTGTCCTGAGCAGGAGCAGGGCCAGGCTGGCCAGACCTCAGTGCTCGGGGCAGACAGTGGCTGATGAAGAAGTTTTGCAGGAAGCGGCGCCGCAGGCCCTCTGGCAGGTAGTAGTGAATGAAATACATGAGTACCAGGCCACGGCCTGGGTAATAACGGCGGCGTGGCTGAGCTGCCAGCAGGGCATCAATGATGGCATCTACAACCGGGCTGAGGTCAGGCACCGCCATTCTGAGTGAATGCAGGAACTGCCCGTGCAGGTGCTCAATGTAGTCTTCACCATAGGCCTGCAGCAGCTCTCCAGGCAGGTTGGCCAGCAGCAGTTGCTTGCGCTTCTCCCAGAGGTTCACATTGGTCACTGACTCTGGAGAAGGGACAGCAAAGTCAGAAGGCAGCAGCTGGAGGAGCCAAGGGCCACTAATCTATTTAATGTGAACTATGCCTATAACCAAAGCCATGCCAGACCTCAGACCACACACCCAGGCCACATGCATATCCCACCCCAAACCTGAACCCTCACCTGTCTTGAAGCAGCCAGGCTGGATAACGCTGACCTTGATACCCCAGGGAATCAGTTCACAACCAAATGTGTCCATAAGCAGTGCTACAGCTGCCTTGGAGGTTCCATAGGCTGCTAAGCAGGGATACGGCATGTCTCCTGGGAGTAGAATGGGGGAGAAGCTGCTCAGCTTTGGCCAGGGATTCCCCAAATCATTCTTCACCTGATAGCAGGCACTTTACTACTGTGCCTCAAGAGTGGAGGGCACTACCCACCTGCTGGGCTGCCAACTGTCACAATACGTCCCCTTGAGTGTCGGAGGAGCGGCAGGAGACCCTTAGTCAGTTCAAGTGCACCAAAGAAGTTCACCTCCATGCAGTTTCGGAAAGTTGCCACAGGGGACAGCTCTACATCGGCCACTACACTGTTGAGGCCAGCATTGTTAACCAGACCCCACAGGCCTGAGGGCACAAAAGCAGGAGGGAGGCTTCGGGTCAGCTGACAGCAAACATGCCATCCCCGCCTCCCTCACACTCACCCAGCCATGCCCAGCCCTAATGGAGCCACATCTGCTGACCAGTGCCTGTGGTGTGAGCCTTGGTGAACTCCAGCACACGCTTGATGTCCTCTGGCTTGGTCAGGTCCATCTCCAGCAGCTTTAAGCGAGGGGAGCAGCAGGCACGCAGTTCTTGGGCACCAGGGCTATTCAAATCCAACACAGTGGCCAGCACCATGAAACCCATGGCATCCAGTTTCTTAGCTGTCTCCTTGCCAAAACCAGTGTCACAACCTAACCAGGGTAGGATAGCCAGTGAATTCCCATAGTGGCCCAGCCCAAGACAAGCCACGGGTCACCCATATGTGGGTAGAATCTAGGCCCCTGACCACTCAGCCCTCCCTCCATCCTTTCAAACAAAAGTTTGTCCTCTTGACTGAACTGTGTGCATCAATTCTGTGACATCTGTCATCTCCCTGATTCCCTGTAGCTAACCTACCAGATGTGACGGATAAACCTTTAGAGAAGAAACAGTTTGGTCCCATCTTGTCTCACGAGTCGACTACCAAAACCAGAGGGGTATTTTAAAATGACAGCATCACTCTGCCACTGCTAATTCCCAAAAGTTTTCTGCTTCCTTGGGATCCTTTAGAATAAAGCCGCAGTTCTCTGATGACATCACCCTGATCTTGTCCGACTGCCTCAGCACCCTACTATTGTTCCAGGAGCCCCATTCCCGACTCCCCTTGAAATCTGCCCTTGGAATTCCAGTCACTGGCTTTGGGCATATATGTTTGTTGAGCCACAGACCACTTCCCTCTCAGGACAGGAACCATGCACGGTAAGTGAAGAAAACAGACATGCACTGGAATCTCTTCCCACACCACCAAGTGTGACCTGAGGTCGGCTGCCACTCATGGAGGCTTCATTTTCTTGTCCTTGGTATGCTGAGATAAGAACCACCAGGCAAGGCCCCAGTGTGGGGGTCCCTGGTACTGATAAGCCCTTGCTTCCTTGATGGTTTCCATTCTGATCCTGGCTCTGTGGGTGGCCAGTGAGAGGAGGAGGAGGGCCAGTGCAGGAGGAGGAGGTGCTTTGGAGCCGCCAGCCCCGGGGTCCTGCTGAGTAGAAATGCTGCTTTGCAGCTAGGCTTCCCCACTCCTGGACAAACAGCACCCCTCCCCGCCTCAGCCCCGCCCCCTGTGCTGAGAGGAGAACAAAGCTGGGCAGGGGGCTGCAAACCGGGCTTTGTGTGGCTGGGGCCTGCCAGCCTGTGTGGAGGGGTCCTTCTGAGGCAAATCTGACTGGGGGAGGGGAGTTTGTGTGCACAGATACACACTTGCCTCTGCTTCCTTCTGGATCAGATAGCACTCCACTAAAGCCTCCCAGAGTTTTAGCTCTGGGGTCCTGACACTCACCCACACTTTATCCTCTTGCTCATCTGCAAACATCTGTAACTTGCCTGGATGTTCACACATGAGCTTGAACCCAGTTACCCATCAGCACAAATATATACACGTGCAGGCACACAGGGTACCACACCACGAAGCCCAAGCTTGACTCCATGTCTGAGCTTGTGGAGAAGATTTGACAAACAGCTCTTGGACATTCTTTGGGAGGAATGAGTGACAGTTCTGCAGGTATAAAGCGGTGTTCTTGGCAGGTGGGGCAGGACCTGGACACTTAAGTGCCTTGCTGCTTGATGGTAACTGGGAAAACCCCCAGAATTTGCAGACATAGGGAAGCTAGAATCCAATTTGCTGTCTTATACAGCAGTAAGATTCAAAGAGATGAAGGGAGCCCAGGTCTCCTCTTGCTCAGGCTCAAAACTGGAAGTAACAGCAGCACTAAAACCTGAGGTCAGATCTCTGGAAAGACTGCCCAGCCAGGCCTGTAGAACCTGAAAAGGCTTAGGACCTGGTGAAGCAGCTCACAGATTAGAGGATAGGAAGCGATCTGTCCTATAACCTAGTCCCTGCTTCATTCCAAGAGAGTTGGATAGCGTTCCTTTCTCAACCTCCTGAAACTGGGGTTCCCTGAGGCTGGAAGTCTCTCCCATCTTGCCTGATCCCCACTCCCTCTGCTGAACATAACCTATGTGCCATCCTCCTCTACCTTAATACAATCTGGTTTCTCACCTGACATTCAGGTCTCCCAAGGAAACTTCACATCCCACCACACCCCCACAGTCAGACTGGTTATTGACTATCCCTTTCCCAAACCATGTGCTTATTCCTGTCTTAAGCCTTTGTTCCATGCCCTTTCTGTGATCCAAGACACATTTCGTATTCCACCTGTCTCCACCCGACTTCCTCTAAGGTCCAGTTCAAGGATTTCCTCCGAAATTCTCCCAGCCCCATCCAGTCATACAGACCACCTACAAAGGACCAAGATCTCTGAGAAGCTGTGGTGGTTGGGGGAAAAACAAGGCTGCTCCTCCTCCCATGCAATGGACCAGTGCCCCCTGGCCTTCCTCCCCCTCCCCATTTCCTGCTGGGTCTGCAGCCCCCCTTCCCCTTCCCTCCCTCTGATGACAGATTTATTCCCTGCTCCAGACAAAGAGAGCTCAGCCAGGCACCAGAGACACCTGAGTCCAGTACTCTGAGGCCTCTTTCCCGGGCACCCGGGGCTGGGCAGGATGAAATGCTAGGTGCAGACGGCTGCAGTTTTGGCAATGGATAGCTAGATCCAAGCAGCAGCTACTTACTATCCAGCTGCTGTGACCTCAGGCGGTTCTGAACTCCAAGGATTCCAGTCTGTGGAGGTCAGGGGAGCAGAACTCATATCTAAGCTCTCCTGAGACTAGCAGAGAGTGTGTTCCAGTGACATGGGGATGCCAGAGAGAGTTCAAGGGATGGCATTTCCTTTCTCGAGACTTCTGCAGTCCCTTAGAGTACTGCCCTCTGCTCCACACCTGGTCTCTTAGGGAAGAACACAGCATACACTCCGTCTCTCCTCAGTCACTAATGTTCATTGAGCACCTGCCCACTCTCTACCTAACTTTCCCTCCATCACTCGCCCAGCCGCAGGTAGTTAACCCGGACTTGGTGAGGTGCCCTGAGCTTCCTACTTGGCTCACACTCTTGCATCTCGGAGAGAAGGACTCTCACTTCTGAGCTGCTGGGTGCGCCTGGATGGTGCCCTCTAGGTGTGCGGTCCCGCCCTCCAGCCTGGAGTCCCTGCGCTCTACGCACTCACCGGTGATGAGCACCGCGCGAGTGGCCACGGGCAGGCGAGGAGGGCGCGCCAGGCGGGACAACGCGATCCAGCCGGCAGCAGCTAGCACCACGAGTGCCGCCGGCGGGGGCAGCAGGCGCTGGCACAGCCAGTCAAGCGCGGCCAGCAGCGCCAGCGCCGCCAACAACGGGCGGCCCAGACGTAGGTCTGAGCGCAGCAACTGCAGCAGCGCGCGGGCAGCCACTAGCAGCCAGGCGCCGCCCGATGGCCAAGGCCAGCGCTCCATGACTGCGGGGCCGGGCCGGACCGGGCTGGGGCGTGACGAGGGCCGGGTTGGGGAGCGCGGAGAGGGACTCGGCCAGGACACAGAGTGTAGAGAAACCACGGCCTGGGTGGGAGGGATACTCGCTTTCTTTGCGGGCCCTCGGACCCAGCTTATAAAGCACCCCGGGGGCGGGGTGGGGGCGGGGCGAGGGCGGGGCTGGGGTGGGCTTTTCTGCACTTCTATCTCCTCGCCCCACCGCAGGCAGGTGCCCCCCCCCGACCCGCCCCCTCGGCTAGATCCGCTTTCGAAGAAGCCGGAACAAAGTCCCAAGTTGTTGCACGAGGCGGAGCCGTCAGTCGCCGACTTCGCCGGGGAAAGAGCCAATCTGCCCAACCCTGTACCCTGCATCTCATTCACTCCTGCACGCCAAGGGCTCTGAACCTCCGCGCTCAGGTGTGCCCACACTTCCTCAGAATACCTACACACACACACACACACACACACACACACATACACACACACACACACACCAACACCAACTTTCATCCAAGTATTCCACATTGATATCGCTGTGGCTGCCGTGACTTCCAGAACATGCATGGAACTAGTCAGAGTCTGCTCCGGGCCACACCCGCGGTGCCATGGCCTAAGGTTCCTGGTGCACACACCCAAATGTGCACTCTCGCCTGAGTACTTCCCAACCACAGCTAGAATCGCCAGACCAGGATTCTTGGGAGTTTCTGTTTCACCCCCCCACTTTCTTCCAAGTCCAGAACTGGGGAAGCCACACAAGTGCATGTGTGTGAGTGAGACGTCACAGGATCATCAAAGTCTCCTTTTACTTCACCCCTCCCCTCCCCAAGAACCAAGCTAAGGGGAACACCTGGAAGAAGTGTCAGGACAGGGTGGTCCCTGACCTGCTACCCTGAGTCCCCAGGGGGTGAAATAAGTACTGTGTGGGTGCACTTCCCTCCCAGTGTGTATGAAGGTCCTTGTTTGTGTGTGGCCTGGCACCCCTGCCACCCCCGTGTCTGGCGCTCTGTGCCTACCATGCATGCCAGGGCTCTAGCAGGCATTGGCGGTGAGTGCCAGTAGCTGGGTGCCAGCCCCTATGCAGAGGAGGCACAGACTATGGCAGTGGAGATCCCTGCTTCTGTGAATCTCCAGACCTTGCCCGGCTCCTCATCTCTGTCCTTTCTGGGTCCTGGGAGGCCATGAACTTCTAATCATAGCTCTCTGGCCTGTGGCTCATTCTCTGTCCGGTGTCCAGACTCTGTTCCAGAGTTTCATGAAAACTCTTCCAAAGCTGCTTTTCTATCCAGGCATGGGTTCCTGAAGGGTCAGAGGAATCTCCAAGAAGGAGCTGGAGTCCAGACCCACTTGAGGGGAGGAGCGCTGGGTGGAGACCCCATCTGCACTCAGAGCCAGTCATGTGCCCCTCCTGCCTTCCCTCTGGAAATACAGGTGATGGTACAACCCTGGCCTGGGAGGCAGGATTGCCTGAGTAAGGCGCGCGTGCGTGCGTGCATGTGTGTGTGTGTGTGTGTGTGTGTGCGTGCGTGTGTGTGTGTGTGTGCGTGTGTGTGTGTGTGTGTGTCTGTGTGGCCTTGCATTCTTTTGTTTCTATGCACTTGTGTCCGTGGGGTTCTGTGCCGTGTTGTGATCTTATATGTGCATGCGTGCAGGTGTGCATGTGGCATGTGTATTTCCTACAGCTCTTCCTCCCGTCTAGGTCCTCTTGCTTCTACAAATTCAGGGAAACAATCCTTTTCCAAACCACTGACTTCTATTGTCCTGAGTCAATTGTCCAGGTCCAGAAGAGAACAATGTCCCCTACTTTAACTGAAAGTGTTAGGTTCATCAGCCCTCCCAGATCCGGCTAACCCTCCTCAGACCCCAGCTACAGTCTCTCCAGTCTCAGCCCTTTTAAGTACTCTCCTTGTGGGAGGAAAGGAAGAAAGCAGAGTCCTGGAGGACGGTCAAGCTTGCTCACAGTACTGGTACTTGGAGCAGGGTTAGAAAGGAGTAGAGAAAGAGAAGCAAGACTGTGAGGTGAGGGGGGACTGAGAACCAGGCCTCTACCTTGCTCCTGTAAAGTACGTGGGGAAGTGCAGGCTGGGCCTGAGAGAGATTGGCCGAAAGCAGATATTGGGTAGAGGGAATTGCCTTTGGTTGTGGGATACAAGACGGCTGGGCTGCTTCTAGGACAGTGGACCACTTCAGGTGGAGCTTTTCTGAGACTTGATAAGACTGGACCGTCTGCCACATTTCTGAGACACCTGCTCCCTGCCCCACCCCCTCCCATTTTCTGAGTCAAGAGACCATGGCACCTCCCTCCTAGGACCTGTTCTCTGACTCCCAGAGCCTCCTCAGACACTGACCCTTCCCCTCATCAGGTGGAGGTGCCACAGAAGTGGAAAGTGTCTCATAACTGGGAGGGGCCAGCCCAGCCCTGTCTGAGGCCTGGTGCCAGCTTGAGCCTGCCTTGGGTTAGAGAACCAACTTCTGCCAGAATCAGGAATCTGGCCTAGTAGGGGCCTCAATGGGAGAGGAGTGGGGAGGGGTGGCGTGGGCAGAGGGCAGGTACCCTAGCAGATAAGGCAGGATCTAGAAGGGCAGGTTAGTGGAGGTTTACCAAAAATAGAGTTCCCAGAGCCACCTGGTCCCAAGCACTCAGACCACACTCTTAATCCTTTGTTCCATCTCCCAGCCCCAACCTCACCCTTTGATCAGAAACCTGGTTAGCCAACCATTGCATGCCTCGGGCTCTGGAGGACCTAGGGTCTGTAACTAGAAGGCTGTCTGCTCTCTTGCTTTGATGACCAGTGACTCACTAGCACCATCTGCTGGCTGTCCGGGAGGGTGCATCTGTAAAAGCGATATTCTTGGAACCAGACTTCTTCTGCCTTCAGCTGTCTCCCTTACCCCTCCAAGCCTCTGCTCCTCGGCCTCTCTTGACTGCCAGGTTCGGCTCTCTCTCTTTGATGCTGGTTTTTCCTCCCAGTTCTCTGCCCTTCCTCAGCCTTCTTCATAAACTTGTCTTCTGTGTGCATGAGTGTCTGGTTGTGGAGGCCTCATACTCACCTCCTCCACCCATGAGCTCATCTCGTCTTCCTACTCACATGCTGGCGACACCCACACTCTGGCTTTCCAGCCAAGGCCTCCCTCTTGACTGCAGGCCCACGCATCCAGCTGCCCTGGATGCCTCCCATGGACACCATAAGCCACTTGCACACAACATGTCCAAAGTTGGTCTCATCATCTTCCTAAACCCTGGAAGACATCTTCTTCCCAGAATACCCCTCACTCCATGCACTGGCCTCCAGACTTCTTGTGCTTTGAGCTCTGGCAACCTCTGTCAGAGGCCTCTTGGGGTCCTCTCAGGCCCAGCCTCAACACTTAACCTCAGGCTTAAATGCAAAAATCCATGTTTTTGAGAACTGAGTCAGTACAGAGCTGCATTTACCACAGTGGCCTCGTGGCCTTCATTTCATGAGCAAAAGAGAACAATGCATGGTCTTGAGCAAATAAGACCTCTGTCCCAGCTGGCCAGGAAGTAGATTTGGGAAGCAGATGTAGGTCTAGGGTCTTGTTGCTACAGCCAGGTAAGGGCCAGGAACAGAGGTCTTATGTAGTCAGACAGAGCCTCGAGTGTCTGAGGCCAGAGGCCAGAGGCAGTTGGATGCTTGTGGGCTAATGTGCCTTCGGAAGCCTGGAAATGACTAACTCCCTTCAAAATACCCCAAACCCTCTCATTTTTCAGAGGTACCCTGTTTAATGTGAGCACCTGGAGATTTTGCCCCTTGGTTACCTGGAGGGGGGGTGGTAAGCAGTGAGATCCAGGGTCCCACGAGCATCACCTAGATTCCCAGGCCATTTCTGCGACTCTCTTGAATTGTTTTATGGCCTCCAAGATTGAAGGCAGATGTTTAGGGAGTAGGGTCCCGGAAGGTGGGAAACATTTTGTACTCTGCAGAATTTTCTGGATCAGCCTCAGGGGAGAGCAAGGCCCAGTTGAGAGGTCTGGGGCGACTACTTAGTGGACTCTGAGTCAGATCCTTTTGGGAGAGTTAATCGTAATCTTTTCACATTTATTGTGTGTTTTCTGCATGCCAGTCTGGGTCCGCTGGGCTTTTCTGTTCTCTCAGTGTCTGTCTGACGCAGATGCTCTCCTTTAGCCTCTTGGTATATGAAAGGACACGGGCTCAGAGCTCAGTGCTCTCCTTTAGCCTCTTGGTATATGGAAGGACACGGGCTCAGGGCTCAGTGCTGTGCCCTTGGAGCGTTTTTAATCTTTCCCACTCACAGCCTCCTTTACCCCGGGGGGGGGGGGGGGTAGGGGTACGGGGGGGGGGGCACAATTCTTAACATGTAGCCTGGGTTAGCCTGGAGCTTGTTATGTAAACCAGGCTGACCCAGGACTCAGGAATTCACCAGTCTCAGTTTTACAGGTGCTGGGATTGAGGGTGTGGACCACCATGCCCAGTCTCATAGAATTTTTTATGTGATTCCAGATATAGGTATATAAAATAGATATACTTTCCAGGTGTGAGGGCACACGTCTTTAATCCCAGTACTCGGGAAGAGGCAGAGGCAGGTGGATGTCTGAGTCTAAGGCCAGCCTGGTCTGTAGAGCAAGTTCCAGGACAGTCTCCAAAACAATACAGAGAAACCCTGTCTCATAAAACAAAAAAAAAAATTTTTACATAAGGAACTAAATCTTGGTTGAATTATTATTAGTAGTAGTATTAGTATTATTTTGGTTTTTCAAGACAGGTTTTCTCTATGAAATAGCTCCAGATGTCCTGGAAATTGCTTTGTAGACCAGGTTGGCCATGAACTCACAGAGATCTGCCTGCCTCTACCTCCTGAGTGCTGGCATCTGAGGTATGTGCCACCACGCCCAGCTGTTCTATTTTTAAATATATATTTTAATTTTTTATTTGTGTGTGTGAGTATAATATATATCTGGAGATGTGTGAGTGCCACAGCACACATCTGGAAGTCAAATGGCATATTTGAGGACTCAGTTTTAACCCTTTAGGTGGGCTCTGAGCATCAAACTCAGGACATCAGACTTGTGCAGCTGAGCCGTCTTACCTGCTCTGTTTTTGTGTTTTTGAGATAGGATCTCACTCTATAGCAGCCTAGACT